GTCTGTTTGGTGAGATGGGATCTCTCATTTTCCTTCCTTCTAACTTCCTTCCTTCCTAACTTCCTTCCTTCCTAACTTCCTTCCTTCCTTTCCCCCTCCCCTCTTTTCCCTTCCCTTCCCTTCCCTTCCCTTCCCTTCCCTTTCCTTCCTCTCTCCTCTCCTCTTCTCTTCTTTCTCCTGGCTTCTGAACCGCAATCTTCTGGATCTCTGCCCCCTGAGTCACTGGGATTACAGGCCAATGCCACCACATCTGGTAGGAATACGGTGAGAAATCAGACATTTGCAAATTGGGAAGAGGCCCTCACCAGGCCCTGGATCTGATCCCACATTGATCTTGTGTTTCCTAGTCTCTAGAACTTTGAGAAATAAACGTCTCTTTGGTTATAGCAACTTGAGCTGACCAAGACAGTGGGTAAGTATAGAGACAGCACAATACAGGATCCAGGCAGTGATCAAGTGAGTTCAGGATTCTAAAGGATGACAGGTCAAGGGCCCCGGATGTAAGCTCCAGAAATCAGTAAGCATTTCTTAGAGGCAGGGACGGGACATACAGGGCCCACACAGTGATGACCCATACAGTGATGAAGCCGAGCTCTCTCTTGTAGAGGGAAGACTGCAGTAGTATTTGTAGCCATCTTTCTATTACAATAGTGAGAGTCACTGAAACACATTGAGGGTGTGTTCTAAACTTGCTGCGTGCATTTGTTCATATACTCCTACTCTGTGCTTAATTTAACTCTACTCTTCACACACACACAAAAGGCTCAGTCCCTCTCACTTCTCCCTGATCCAGATCATCTGACCCTATTGTAGTAAGGAAATACTGTATTGGGGATGGGGCTACTCCTTAGGGTGAAAATGCCAATGCTTTCTACCCAAGGGTTTGTGTGTGTGTGTGTGTGTGTGTGTGTGTGTGTGTGTGTGTGTTGGTCCTAGGGCTTGAACTTAGGACCTAAGTGCTGTTCCTGAGCTTTTTTGCTCATGTCTGGACCTCTACCACTTGAGCCACAGTTCCACTTCTGGCTTCTTTTTGGGTAGTTAGTTGGAGAAAAGAGTGTCATAGACCTTTCTGCCCAGACTGGCTTTGAACCATGATCCTCAGATCTCTCCCTCCTGAATAGCTAGGATGACAGGTGTGAGCCACCAGCACCCAGCAGCTGTTTTGAATTCAGGGGGCAGCTGGTTGGTAACATGCTTTCCAAAGTTCTGCATCCTGGAAGATGGTTATTTAAAAGAACATTACATAAACAGACATTCAAATGAACTTGGACTCAGTTTCCTAAGTAGTCAAAGCTTGACAAGACCAACAGAACACAAGGAATTATATGTTTATTTATTTATTTAATCAGTTGTAAGGCTTGAACTTGGAGCCTGGGTGCTGTCCCTGAGCATGTTTTGCTCAAGGCTAGTTAGTACTCTATCTCTTTGAGCTACAGCTCCACTTCCAATTTTCTGGTGGTTAATTGGAAATAAGAGTTTTATGGACTTTTTCCTGCCCCAAGTGGTTTTGAACCATAATCCTCAGATCTCAGCCTCCTGAGTAGCTAAGATCACAAGCATAAGCCACCAGTGCCCAGCCACAAGCAATTATCTTGATGAAATAAAGTCTTTCCTACAAGCCAGCTTCTTGCAAATGTTGCTAAGAGCAGAACAATATCCTGCAGACATAGAATTAGCTGTTAGTTCCACATTAGTGTATTGAATCTTGACTTCAGAAAACCCTTTAGATGACCTTTATGAAACTGAACTTAGACAACATTGCTTTCCCCCCCCCCAATAAAATAAAATATTCTCAGTACCACTAAACATAGACCTTCCCTACAACCCAGCCATACCACTCCTGGGCATCTACCCTGAACATCATGAGCCAGGATAAGACAAGGACACCTGCACACCCATGTTCATTGCTGCAGTGTTCACAATAGCCAAGATATGGAAACAACCCAGATGCCCTACAATAGATGAGTGGATTAATCAAATGTGATATATATATATATATATATATAATGGAATTTTAAACAGCCATTGGAAAGAATAAAATAATATAATTTGCGGAGAAATGGATGCACCTAGAACCATTCATGTTAAGTGAAGTAAGCCAAGCTCACAGAGACAAACAGCACACGTTCTCTCTGATATGCAGAAATTGGATCTAAAATACACTGGGATGTGATAATACAGGATTCTATATACTCACATACAGTGAAACCAAAAGAGGATACTCTTAGGAGAGAAACACAAAGGCACAATTCCTATATGCCTCTTCATATTTATATGAAACTATATATATATATATATATATCAACTCTAAGATATGGAAACAAGAGATCCCTTTTTTAATCTTTTTGATGATTCTATCTTCTTTAACTTTTTTTCAGTATATTCACATCTATATCTTCAGGAGGGGGAGGGAAGGATACAGAATTTGAGGGGAAAAGGGTGAAAAAATACATCAGTAGAACTCACTGGGCACAGATGAAAGAAAACTATACAGCCCATGGGTAGAGATGGGAGGGAGGGACTGGTAGAGAGTGAGGGAAGAGAAATGTACGCATTACCTGACTCATATAATTGTAATCCCTCTGTACATTGCCTTTATAATAGCAATAAAGTAAATTAGTTCAAAAAATCCTTAGTGCCCAGGAAGAAAAACTGATCTGAAACAGTTTCTCTATGCACTAACAATGTAAAACACAATTTGTGAATAGACCCATCCGCTGTGAAGGAGAATGAATACAAAGTGTACTTATGACAGGATGAAAGGGATTTCAATCCTTTATCTCAATAAACCAAATTCTAAGAACTCTTTTTGCTCCTTGAATTTAAAAATGGCCTTACTTCCCCTTGTCAGATTTGGAGAGTTAATTCCTGAATGCCAGAATTTTAGACGTGATTGAGATAAGATGACCACTTTTTTTTTTCTCCCAAGAGTAACAACAGTTTTCACATCATAACTTTATAACAGCAGTTCAAGAACCAGTTGAGAGCTATGCACGTACATAATACAGATTCACAAAAAGGTGTACCTGAGGCTTGACAAGACCAAAAAGAGTTCCAAAATGAAAATCAGTTATAACAATTAATTAGCTGTTTCCTGGAATTCCAGGGGCAAATGAAATCATTGCCCTGTGCTTCATAGACTCATGCACTATAGCCAGGTCCAATATTCTAGAATGTTCTGAGATACAACTTTCAGCTGTAGGTTAATTATGAGATGGTGAAGAAGATGGCGGGATCGCTATGTCTGCCCTCCTAACACTATTTAGGCGGAGACAACCCCGTGGAGTCAAAACACTGAAGGAGGGGGGCAAAAAGCATCAGAGAGAGGGGAGCTGATGACTCATGCCTCTCATCCTAGCTACTCAGGAGGCTGAGATCTAAGGATCATGGTTGGTAGCCAGCTTTGAGCAGGAAAGTCTGTGAGACTTTTTAATCTCTAATAAACTATCCAAAAGCCAGAAGTGGAGCTGTGGCTCCAGTGGTATGAGATCAAGCAACTCCTCCCACATCTGCCAAAAGAAAAAAAAAGCATTCTGAAAAGCTCAAAGAAAAAAAAAAGGTCCAGTGGGTTATTTTTTTAGCACCTCTCCAGTACTTCATGCACAAATGTGTGACCTTTTTCCTCAAGTCCCTGGAATGAGGCGTTTGCAGTGAGCATGGCTTTCTACCACAACTAAGCAGCTTTGGATCCGAACCACTGTGAGTCAGTTAACTTTCTGTCACTGACAAAATACTAGAGATGAATGACCTCAGAGGGGGAAAGAGTCATTCCGCACATGGGCACTGGGTACCATTGCTTTAGGCAGGATAACATGGAAGGGAGTGTGCCATGGAGCAGAAAAATCTCACGTCGTGGTTTCCAGAGGGAGGGAGAGAAGAAGAGAAGGAGAAAGGGAGGGAGAGAAAGAGAAAGAAAGAGAAATAATATGAACAAGAAAAACAAGAAGGCTGGGTTCCAATAGCTCATGCCTGTAATCCTAGCTACTCAGGAGGCTGAGATCTGAGGATTGTGGTTCAAAGGCAGCCTGGACAGGAAAGTCTCTGAGACTCTTATCTCCAATTAACCACCAGAAAACCGGAAGAGGAGCTGTGGCTCAAGTGATAGTGTGCTCACTTTGAGCTGAAGAGCTCAAGGACAACAACCAAGCCCAGAGTTCAAGCCCCACAATCAATGAAAGTCAGAGAAAGAGAAAGAAA